CTATTTAAAACTTGACTCTTCTGTAGTAGAGAGTAATTCTGTACTCTCATTCCGGCATAATAATCAAGGAACTTTGCTGCTGTACCATGGGTGCAGCAGCAAAGTTCCTTGATTATTACGCCAGAATGAGAGTATAGTTCCTAGCCATATTTTGAGCGAGATGCTAACGGTCTAATCAGATTCAATGATCTATGCTAAGCTAAGCTAAAAGTGCTACCGCCAGACCCGGAGATCGGCTGAATGGATTCGAAAACGGTAAAACTCAACTGTTTAACTCTAGGGGAGTTGGAAAATTAGCCTATTTTCAAAAATAGTGGAATGTTCCTTTAAGCTCAATCATCAGGCACCCCTTACCACAAATTTTAAAGCAAAAATCTGGGTTCCAGTGAGATACTTACAATGGAAATGCCTGTAAACTTTAGGTTATTATAGTTAACTAACAAATAAATAAATAAAATAAACTTTAAAATAAATGATAACTGAAATAAAAATCTAATATTTAAAAACTTATTTTATTTTAGCTAGCTGCCAACGCAAAATTTCATTTGTTTTTTTCTTGACAAACTAAAATAACTAAAACTAAGAAAAAAATGAATAATACAGCTTTAAAATGTGTCCTGTTTGTTCAGCCAGCTTCATGCAACAGGCCACTGATCAGAATAAATATGTTGTTTCATTTTTACATAAATATTTCTGTTACACTGAATGATGAAACATTATTTCACCCATATTTTGACATTTTATTTTCACAAAAAATATTTGAAACATTAAAATGGGCAGTTTACTTGCATTTAATATGATTTCTGTGTATATAAAATCACTTTTGTAAATTTAATTTGATGCCAAAATGGGACGGTCTTGCCTTCGACCCATAGACATATTTTAAAAAACATGAAAACGGGAAATATAAAAATAATTTATGCAAATTATTAATTTTGCAGTTTTTTGCATTCCATATATTCCATTTTAATATTCAAAGCTATATTTTTTCCATGACAAACCACTTATAAAAATGATGAGAAAAATAACAAGAACAACTTAGTTTTAACAGTAAGTGTTTTATAAAATGATCAGCTTCATATTTCTGCTTTTAAATACTTCAAAAATTGGCCCCATTGACTTTCTCACCATACATGACCACCATAACCTTGCACTGAACCCAGAATATTCTTCTAAGAGGACATGACAACATTTAAAGGGGTCATATGATGCGATTTCAATTTTTCCTTTCTCTTTGGAGTGTTACAAGCTCTTGGTGCATAAAGAAGATCTGTAAAGTTGCAAAGACTAAAGTCTCAAATCCAAAGAGATATTCTTTATAAAAGTTAAGAGTGTTCTTTTTAGCAGCATCATATGACCCCTTTAAGGTAAGTGAACAAAGCGAGAAGCTGATTCTCACTGGATTTTAAGGTGCACTGTGCGAATCTCTTGAGTGCGAACATTTGGAATTGATGAACAGGAGATCAGACTGAGAAGCAATGGAGCTGATAGTCGCTAGTGCTCATTAGAAACCCTGCTATCTCATTAGGATGTGACGGAGCAGAGCTGGCAGGAGCCACGGCCCTCTCCTAAACCATGAAGAGCACAGTGCAGGAGATGAGGATGAAGAGGGAGATTTCACAAAGCTGCTCACTCTTTCATCTAGCTTTCATCTGGACATAAGAGGAGAAGAACTGAAGGACACAGACGAAGGACACACTGTCGTGATGAACGAAGCAGAAGTGTTTTAAAGGGGCTCATATAATGAAAATCTCATTTCCCTTGATCGTTTGAAACAAAACCGTTTCAGAACTCTGGGCCAAAAAACACCCTTTAATGATACAAAGCTCGTTCTGAGAGACTATCTATATAAAAGTCAGCAGACAGGGATAAAAACAAAAGTCAGTCTTATGCTTTTAATAGCATTAGGCACCTGTAAAGAGTTACTATAATAGAGAGATATACTATAATATAATAGTCAGCAGAGAGAGAGATATATTTTACTCAGGCTACAGCTGCAGCATCTACCAGCAGGGGTTAATATCGGATACTTTTAGATTCTAATGCAAAAAAAAAAAAAAGCGAAAACATCACCTAAATTATGAAGAAATTACAAAATGATGTGTGATGCAATAAAACTTATTAACTTTAAAAATGGACTTAAAAATATGAAACAATCTCTTTAATATACAAGAACAGGTTGAAAAGTGAAAACTGATGACAGTATGTGACAGTTACACTATTAATTTAATTTAATTTCTAAAGCAAACTCCCTCAGAATACATTAATTAATTCCACTGCTCTGCATCTCTTCATCTCTTTCCTAATTATACCTCTAAGACACTTCATAATGAATGACTACAGCATGATATTAGATTCATGGTTCTTCTTTTTCCATCTGTTTTCTGCTGTTTACAGGGCAGAGGACAGAGAGACAAGGCATGTGGAATGGTTTCAGGAGAAAACAGGTGAAGATGTCACGATTAGCATCAGACTGCAATATGGTGGAGGTGAGGCAGTACACAACAAAACAGTGTGAAAAAAGTGTCACTTCAGATCTGAAAACAATACAGTTGCTTCTCGGTGCATTCAGATCTGTTTCCATGTGCTGCGAGACACTTTAGACACCTTACATGTTTTTATGTTATAGATTTGAAGTGCATCTGTTTGCTCAGTGAGATTCTGTTAATCGCTGTCTACTGTCTGCACAGGCATCTGTCTACTAAGTGAACACCCTAACTGAAATAGAATCTCATAAGTGACTATAGAAATATCTATAAAGGCAGCAACTCAAACAATTTATTTCGACAGAGTCTGATGTTAGCATGTTGCTAAGCTAACAATGTGAAACTTTAATAAACATTAAAATACAAAGAACTTGTTAGGTAAAATAGTCTATTTTTAATCAAACTGAACCATTTTATCAATACGTTTTAATGCTGTATGTTAGCATGTTGCTAAGCTAATGTGATACTTTAATATATATATTCCACTAAAATCATCAATTTTTAAATTAGAGTGAATGAGTATTTTTATTCATCTGTACTTTTTTTTTTACTGAACTTGTTGCAAAGCATTCTGGAATTGCATTCTGCATGATGCTGCCTCAAGGCCCATTTACACCAAGGATGATAATTAGAACAAAAAAGTTTTCATAATAGTTCTAAGACTATGAGAATAACTCATACCACACCACAGCTATAACGACAAAAACAAAGTTGGAATTCGATTGTTGTTAGAATGATGAACAAAAAAACATTGACAGCCAATGAGAATCCACCAATTTAAAGAGCTCTAGCATTTAAAGTGACAGACACAAAACTGCCGTGCACAATTTTAATAAACAGAATGGTGTTGTTCAGAATCATGTGTTGTTGTGACGCTACTATAGTTATCATTACAGTTAAAGGCAGGGTAGGTGGTTTGGTTTAAAAACATTTTTTGTTATGCTGGTTGAAAGTCTCTTCTCACCCTGATAGCCATCATTAAGTTAAGTGGTCTAAATGTATTTATATTGTGTGTGGAAGGCGTATGACCATAAAATGTTCATCCAATCATATTCCTCGGTCCGAGAGCTACGATAGGCTGTCCTGCCTGCCTGTCAACATATGTATCTGCATACCTCCGCGCACCCTGTTCGCTTTGGAGAGTGATTGGAGAGTAAGGTGGGATCTTATGCTTTCAAAGCTAGCTTGCTATTGCTAGCCTCTCCGAAATCACCTACCCTACGTTTAATGTGCTTGGTCAACGAGCCATTAGAATTTGGACCAAAGAAGATATATATACTCAACTCAGGGGCTCACTAGGTTTTGAACACAGCTTATTTATACAGTATGTGTGTGTATGGGTGCTAACCTCTTGGGTCCCTGTATGCTGATCATGCCCATGTCCTCAGTGTGGTCTATTAGTGTGCAGCAGAAACCCTGGTCCTGCAGCACTGCCTGAATATGGCTCCAGTTATGCTGCGCCACTCCACCTCCGATGGCCAGGTAATACGCCTCACCTTGAGAACATACACACACACTGAGCGTGAGGAGTATATAAACTCCACACATCCTCCTCACATGCTGATGAGACACTCATGACTTCCTCTAATGTCCTGATTCAACACCTTACACATCCGTTCTGTGACCCTGAATAAAATAAATCACGCGTGTCGTTTACCATTAGATTCGGGTGTCAGTGGGAGGTGGGCGGGGCTTGGCTCCAAACGACTGATGGTGAGGTCAGACTCGACTCCGCCCCTCTTGTTTAACATGCAGGTGTAGACAGTGGAGCCTGAAGCACACAAACAGTCAAGATGATTACACTTCAACAAGGTTCACCACTGAAACTATGTGGTCAGACGAGGCAATGAATTTCAATGAATACTGGATATTTGTGAAGAACAGAAAAAAAGAAAGTAAAATGCATGCACTCAGTATACTGGAAGGGAGATAAAATTGACAGACAGACATCACAGGGATCCTCACCTGGAGCTTTGTTGACATCAGCTGTAAACAGCCAATCAGCTGCCTTCTTTGCATCCGGACCAGTCAGGTAAAACTTGCCGAAGTAGGACATATCAAACACAGCTACAGCATTCCTGCAGGTCAGACACTCGTCCCGAATCTGGAATTAAACAAAAATGTAAACATTTTTAAATACATTTTAAAAGCAAAACAACACAACACAAAAAAAAAAAAAAAATTATATCTAAAAAATAAAATAAAATAATCAAAATGCAGCTATAGCATTCCAACAGGTAAGACTCATTCTGAATCCAAAATTAAATAAAAATATAAAAAGAATTTTTAAAAACATTTTAAAAGCAAAACACACAAAGCCCCCTCAAAAAACAACAACCACAACACAAAAAAAAAACTAATCCAAAAAGAAGAAAGAATAAACACAGCTACAGCATTCCAACAGGTCAGACACGTTTTTAAACACCTTTTAAAACCAAAACAAAACAAAACAAAACAAAACAACAAACATACTGAATAAAACAAAATATCAAACACATCTAAAGCATACCTACAGGTCAGACACTTTAACCAAATCTAGAATTAAAAAAAACAAACAAAAAAATGAAATCAACTTTTTTTTTTTTTTTTTAAATACACACACACACACACACACACACATACTGAAAACAAACCTGTTTAGCCATAAGAGAAGAACTTCATATGGACAAGGGAGGCTACAAACACTCTCAAACACACATGCTCACCACATAATGATGTGGAGGGAAGTCAAACGTGTACTCTTTGCCTAGTATCTCGCTGTATTTGTAATCATTGTTCTTGGGAACATCGTAGGCACTATAGTAATCATAATCCAGAATCTGAGAAAAGAACAATTGAAAATACCAGTTTAGCAGACAAATCAATCAATCAGCAACTGATACAGACCTCACTGGACTTGAAGTACCGTAACACATATAAACTATATGTGTTATAAAGAACACAGAACAATTTCTGTCCTTCAGAATTATGCATTTGTGTGTATGTGTGTGTGTGTGTGTGTGTGTTTGTGGAAATCTCACTGGAGCAGGTCCATCCCGGTTGAACCATCCAGGTCTCTCCCAACCGTGTCTCTCTTGAAACACACAGCCCTGTTCCTGTAGCACCTGTTAAACAACACAACCATCAGAAATCAGGCCAATAATAAACCTCAATCACTGTATCAAAATCATAATTAGGCCACAGCAATTAAGATGACCCAACTGACCCATTTTGGGCCAGTGCTACATTGCCACTTATGTTCATTAATCTGCGTTTTTCTGTGATGTATTTTACGCTGTTGTTGCACTGATTTGTCACAAAAATAATGTTATCTAGATGGCTAACAGATGCTGAATTTGCGAAAAAGATTTGCAATAGTTTTGAAAGCATCAGTAAGATGTAATCAGTAACGTTTTGCATTGCATTTACATTATAGATGTATAATTTCCATATATAAATAACATTTTATATATAAATACAAATTTTTATAAATAATGAACAACAAAGTGTTGTAATTAAAACTTTACATGTAATGAAAAATACAAATATTTCTAGCAAATATAAAAACACTAGGGCTATTAATTGATTAAAAATCTATTAATTGCAACATTAAAATATATAATCAAATATATTTTCACACTGAATTCTTTGATCATATGTGCCTTGCAAACCATCTTAAAAATCAAATTTTTAATGCATTTTTGAAAGCTTCCTCTGGAAGTTTGACATTTTCTCAAGAAACTCATTGCCATGCTTTGCCAACTTTCCCAGTATTTTCCAGGCAGCTGGTAAGGTGTTGTGAGTGACTGTTTTCTTCACAATTTATGGTATATGTCTGTATAACAAACGGTTCGGGGTAAGATATACTGAGGTACATGAAGGTAATAGTAATAATGATGCTTGCCTTATCATACACCCCAAATCAATCCTGATTTTGAGCAGAAATGCCAGTTTAGGCAGCATAAACTTGTCTACATAACAGTTTTGGATGTGCTATATCCTTCCCTCACGCTTTTGTTCTCCACCGCTCGAAATAGCCCGTCACGATTTCTCCAGCTATTCTTGAGCTCTAAAACAAAAAGAAGAACTGGTCCACCCTCCATCCCGGCGCCCCACACAGCAACAGATTCTCTCTTTCTGTCTCCCCGGCCAGAGAAACACTGGTTGCTAGGCAATTTGCCCGCCTTCTCCAGGCTTTTTGAAGTCCATACATTATTGTTCTGGAGTAAAGTACGAGCTGACAAGCTTTCCATGAGTCACGCACAGCAGCTCGTCGTCTTATCCGGCATGAAACACTATTATTTATTGTTTTTGATAATGATAAGGCTAGCGTTCTTGAACAGGATCAGGCTAAAAATATTATTTGCAGGAATTCATTTGGCCGCTGTTGCCATGCCGATGAGCTTCTAGGGTACATGCTGTCCATGCCATTACTTAACAGAGGAATTTATAGAAGTGTGTGTCAAAATAAACACTCTTAGGTGGTGATAGACACTGAGAAGAAATGAAAAGCAGAAGTTTCGAGAGGTAAAAACAAACCTGACGAGGATCCTCATGCTGTCAAGGTTTGCTGGATTGCTTTCCTGAGCATATCATGTGGTGTCAGTAATAGAAAGCTTGTGAATTTAAGGAATAGTTCACCCAAAAATGAAAATCTGTCATCATATATTCACCCTCTTGTTGGTCAAAATCTTCAGTGGAAAACAAAAGGAGACGGTCAACCTCCAAAAATGACAAAGAGTGCCACAAATGTAGTAAAAGATTCTTAAAAGATGTTAAGCCTTTCTTTAACAAATGGATAAAAGCTACAGCTGCACGATATATTGGAAAAAAGTGATATTGCGATGTGAAAACATTTTTAAGGAATTTTCTCAAAAATACTTGAACAGCTATGTTTGGAAATAATTAATTATTCTAGAATGCTTGGGGTTATTTTTTTATTTGTGTTATTTTTTTATTTTAATGCAAACCTGTAAAATTACAATACCAATTTTTTTTTTTTCAAATATTAAACCGAGCTTTTATTTTGGCGGATTGCTGGCAAATAAATATATGCGCTGTCGGTTTTAGGGGGAAACATGGCACTACATTAATTTACAAAAGAGCAGCTTGTGATTTCAGTATTTCACATATATGTATGCATATATTTACACATATATTTACATATACACTGTAAAAAATGATATGATCAGTAAGTCATGGCAACTTATGCTTTTACATTAACTCGTCAAAAGTTGATCAATTTAAACTTTTTTTTATAAGTTTTGTAACTTACATAAAAAAAAAAACTAAAACAACTTGTAAATATACTTTTATATTATAATATTATACATATATATAATAGATATTTTTTGTATGTGAGATTCAACTCGATTTTTTAAGTCCGTTTAATGTAATTTAAGTTGGAATGAAATACTTAAAAACTTAAATATTTAAGTTGAAATAGGTGAACATTTTTTACAGTGTATTCACTAATTAAATCGTAGCCTTCATGATTAGCAATCGCATAATACTGTGCAGTCCCAATAAAAACATACATAAAATGGCAAAGAACAGCCTGAACATTCTTCAAAATATCTTCATTAGAGTTCTACAAAAGAAAGTTATACAGTTTTTGAAGAAACGAGAGTGAGTAAATGATGACAGAATTTTCATCTTTCCTCTAACACAAAACACTGCTCAACGTTTCTACATATTGATATAAATGAAGGGTGAAATGTTAACTTTTGAGATTAAATGAAAGGCAGGTGTCTTTTTAACCAAGTTATATCGGTCTCCCATCCCTTTGCTAGCACTTAGCTGAATTAGCTCAGGAAGACTTCCAAGCTGGAAACAGATGAAATATTCAGGAGGAATGTCTAATTTACAGTCATCTTAGTGAGGCTTGTGGTCTACATGAATGCAGAGTGTTATTATTGCTAGCTATCTATATTTCAGCAGACTATTATTCACAAGGATGAAGCCTTCTTGTGCGGCTTCACGCCTGGAGCCTAGCCAGAACAAAGAGGTATTTTTGGAAACACTTAAACATCATCTTTTTAGCAGTAGCTTAGCAACAAGTCTTTGGAGCCCCACAGATGCTGGCAGCGAAACACTGGCTAATAAATTCACACATAACACTTTTGGGCTGGCTAAGTGTAAGCTAAGTTGCCATGTTGTGAAATTTCTCAACTTTAATAATGATTTACATTTAAAGGGATGATGTTTTGATGTAATTAACGCAACTTGTTCTCGGGACAGGCTTGTGGAAAGTTTGTAGTCTCAATACGAGCAATTACAAACTGACAGGAAGACGACTGAGAAAGCAGGCAACTGAGACAAAGAAAATGTGGAAGGTGCGTTTGTTTCCCATTAGTACATAGCTAGATTATTCTCTTGACAAAGCTAATTTAGCTCACTGCTAAAGGAGCGCTAACAGCAAAATACCATATACCTGATATGTTCTAGTCATATTTCACCACAAAATCAATAGAAAATGAAGGACCATTTAAGTCATTTTTTGAACTGAGCCAATATTTTCATTACCTTAAATTCAGTTTAACAATTACCACTATTATGTACTACCGTTTAGAAATTTGGGGCTATTTTATTTTTTATATATTTTGAAAGAAATATAGAAAACACCATATTTTTGTGAAAAAACTGAGATACATTTTTTCATGATTCTTTGATGAATAGAAAGTTTTGGTAACACTTTACAATAAGGTTCCATTAGTTAATGTTAGTTAATGTATTAACTAACATGAACAAACAATGGACAATACATTACAGTATTTATTCATCTTTGTAAATGTTAGTTAATGAAAATACAGTCGTTCATGTTAATTCACAGTGCATTAACTAATGTTAACAAGCACAACTTTTGATTTGAATAATACATTAGTAAATGTTGAAATTAACATGAACTAAGATGAATAAATGCTGTAGAAGTATTGTTCATGCTTAGTTCATGTTAACTAAAATAGTTAACTAATGTTAACTAATGAACCTTATTGTAAAGTGTTACCAAAGTTTTTAAAAAAAATTGTTGAGATTAACATGAATTAAGACTAATAAATGCTGTAGAAGTATTGTTCATGCTTAGTTCATGTTAACTAAAATAGTTAACTAATGTTAACTAATGAACCTTATTGTAAAGTGTTACCAAAGTTTTTAAAAAAAATTTATTTATTTGAAATAAAAATTAAATATATTTTTTGTAACAATGTAAAAGTCTTTACTGTCACTTTTGATCAATGTAATGCATCCTTGCTGAATAAAAACATGAATAAAAAAAAAATATATATATAATAATAATTATACAAAATGTAATGTTTTTTTTTTGCATTATTGTAATGACAATGAGATTCTTTCTGCATGGGGGGATGGGAATTGTACTTTATTGTCATTAAAAATAAGGTCACAATGAAAAAAAGCATTTTGGGAAAAAAAAAAAATAATAAAAAAAAATAAATAATAATAATAATAATATATATATATATATATATATATATTTTTTTTTAATAGAGGCAGCATCTATTTTATCTGGACCAGCCTGAAAAAAACAAAAACCTAATTTCTTTGTGTGCAGCCTTTATGGTACCATGTATTTATATATATAATACTTATTTGACATATATATTATTAAAAAGTAGATTCAAGTAGATTCATTTTCCTACTTTAGATAAAATAATATGAGCTTTTTTTCCCCAGATCAGCCTATCTAATGTGCATGCACCTATAGGAAATTATATTTGATTATAATGGACAGTAAAACAAAGACGTCTTGAGCCAGTGGTTCAAAAGGGGATAAAGAGACATAAGAGACAGGCTGAACCTGGTGGAAGGGGTCTTTCCTCATGTTGCGGCTGGCCAAAGGTTCATCAAACGGGAAAACTACTGAATAGTTTTTGGCATACGATTCATGACTCCGCTCTCTGATCCAGCGGTTGTTGTTGGTCAGGGAATGATGGAACCGCCTGAGACACAGAAAAAGGGAGATGAAGTAAGGAACTGAGACACACATACAGATACGTCACATCATTTTCAAGGCACAGAAGCGAATGCTAGTGCAGGCTTGACAGTGAGTTCAGAGCGCCCTGCCCTCAGCTGACCTTCATAATACCTCACACATCTGATGTCCTGAGCTCAGTCATGATGTTCCTTTCACAGATGCGGTCACTGAACTGAACATACTAACAAAACCCATGTGTGGTGTTTGAAATACTCCTTCAGACACTAGTAGGGCTGGCAATCAAGAACGGATTCTTATTTAGTAGAAAGATTGATCTTGATGATGTTTGGTGTGGTTAACGGTTCTTAAATGTCTGAATTCTTCCAGCAGTTTGGACAAAGCGCCATTTAAAAAAAAAACGTCAGTATAGTCTGATTTAAGGTTGCACAATTTTTATTTTTATTTTTGATAAAATGTTCTCATAAAAATTGTGATTTAACATGATAAAAAAATAAAAAATAAAAAAACGCTCTAGGTTTACTGAGCTTACTTGTGAGGTAAGTTTACATTAATAATAATGTAATTAATATTTAATAATAAGTATAATAATATATAATCATAATTAGTATTTAATAAGCAATCTTATTAATTGTTAAATAAATAATATTTAAATGATTATTAATTTACTATTTTAAATTTCACTGTAAAATAAAACAGAGTATTTTAGAAAAATATATAATAATCATTTTAAATTAGAACTGTAAAATGACAATACTAATATTTATGGTCATCTTCATTTTTAATTGTTAAACCATCCAGCTGTTATTTTGGCAGAAAACCGAATGGATGGCTTCACCAAAGATTCTCTTTAGTTGACGACAGCCAGTTAGCACTTTTCATTACAAGTTTAAGACGACGTTTCCTGCATGTTGCGTTCCCAAATGCACATTATATGTGACTCAAACTTTGGAGAAGATGCAGAGATGAGTTTGTGTGGAGCAACATTTACTGAGAAGATGCTAAAAACATCTGCTCATGTGTAAATGAACACAATGCAGCGCATATATTTAATTAGTTACATTGCAGCCCTTACGATTTAAAAATCGCACCAAGTCATATCTTGATTTTGGCTTTATTTTGATTAATTGTGCAGCCCTAGACTGAATCATGAACTAATGACTTTTATGATATTTTCGTGAATTAGTGAGAAAGATTTACAAATGAAGAAGTTATTGTTTTAAAGCATCTAACAACTGACTAACTCATTGAATTTGTTCAGAATGGTTCTTGACTTACAAATAATTACTTATGTCACGTCCGACTCAAAATGCTTAAATTCCCCATCTTCCATTGGTCAGAAAAAAGATAGTCCCGCCTCAAACAAAGTACATAAAGTAGTACTCACAGAAACACTTGCTCGCACAAAACGTACCTGATATCATATCCATACATGTCTTTTTCGGGACGCCCGTGAATGATCCAGTGAGCCAGCTCTTTGCCACATCCTCCTCCTAACATCATACCTGCCAATCAAATCACAGAGCATATGTCAATCATCATCCCATCACTGACAGCTCATAACTGCCAGTCAACTTTATCCTACTCCAGACAATCAAACTTCTGTACATCCCTAAGCAACACGGCACACCGTTTACCAAGCTACAAAGTACCTCTCTAGGAACAATGTGACTGACAGCTGCCGATCGGTTCATAGTGAACGATACCCAGAAGAGTTGAACCATCAGAGCGAATCAATCTTTGCCAGCTCTGAGCGGACAGGAGAGGAATAATGAACAGAAGCAGAGGAATTCCAAGGAGGAATGAAGGGCATTGTGAAGTGAGAGACAAATCAAAGGGGAGTGAATCAAATGGGCGACAGGATCTTGGAAGAGGCGTAGCGAGTGCCTGTGGAGATGTTGGCGGTATCTCCAAAGGACTTCTGGCTCATTAGCTGCCTGATGACTTCATTAGCATTAGCCAGAGACCACAGAGTCGCTGAGTAATGGCTGCCTTAGTGCCTTGAATTCCATGCCGTGTCACTGCTTTATCTCTCAGACACTCGGTGTCCCACACGCCTCGAGAAGCATTTCTAGAGCTCTCATGACAAAGCGCTGCTTACAGAGCAGTCTTAGATGCCATTCACAGAGAACAAGTTTTTGGGTTTAAAAACGTGAGATCCAGAAGAACTTTTTTTAACCCTGCTGTTTATTGAGCCTTTAGAAAAATATTTTGTAATAAATATTTAAAAGCATATGATTGCATATGTTTTTTGTTGAGTGTCATATTTGATACCTTTTTATGATATAGTGAGAATATTATGGAAGCTTGTTTCACCACTGAATAAAATAAAAAAGATAATTGTGACTTTTTTTATATCTCACAATTCTTACTTTTTCTCAGAATAAAAAAAGCCTGAATTGCCAGATATACACTCTGAATTGCGAGGGAATAAAATGCAGAATATATCTCATATTTAAATGCTTAGTTGTATGCTCAATGCTCTGTAGTTTTTATTGCGGGGGCAAATCAAAAAATGCAAGACAGTGATGATTAAGAGATGAAGAAATAAGTGCTCCTCAAAAGCTTGATGGATTTGATACTTAAAGGGATAGTTACAATTACAGTTGAACCACTGGAGTAACATGGACTACTTCCATGATGTTTTTACTACCTTTCTGGGCCTTCGAAGTGAAAGTTGCTTAGGCTGTCAATGGAGGAACAAAAACCTCTCTGATTTCATTTAAAATATCTTCAATTGTGTTTTCCGAGGATGAGTAACAGGTTTCTGTCATTAATTAAGGGTGAGTAATTAATGACAGAATTTGCATTTCTTTCATTTTAACACGATTGTCCTAAAAAAATGACTGGATGCATGGAAAATCAAGTAAACCCGAGATTCTTCAGTCCTGTAAATATTCATCTTGAAATATTACTAACAATATATAAAAATCTGTAAAGACTTCACAGAAAAAAGACACATACCTGTAGTTTGGATGTTTGTACGATTAAACTAAAAGGCCTTTTACTTGCAAAAAAAAGTCTAATCTATCAGTCAGACGTGTGTAGTAGATTGTGAACAACAGGTTTGTCAGCAAAGTTTTGAACATGTTTATAATTTAGAGGCCTGCACGAGTCATGCATGAGACGCTGCAAAAGATGCAAGAGCAAAAGGCATGTTCACATAGAAAAACAATGGAAAAAAAGGAGCACAGTGTGATGCAAAAACATTTTCTGTGCTATTTACGTCATGCAGAATTGTGCTTCTGTTGAGAACTGCTTGAAAATTTTTACATTTTTGTACTTCCCACCCAACCCTGAGACTTCCTCAAGGCACTTTTGAGATAAAGGTTCAGTTCATCCAAAAACTGAAATTCTCATCATTTGCTCACAATTAATCATTCCAAACAGTGTTCGAACTATACCGTGGTCTTTGGGGGAGCCCACTTGTTTTTTTTTAATATAAAATGTGTTCGTGCGCTTGCGCGTGCCTCAAAAGAGGGGTTACAATGACTTACACTTGTAATTTAGCTGTTATGTATCTTTGTATGCACTACTTGCTTTATGCAAGCACTATATAGGATAAATCACTATACAGGATTTACCCTATTATACTTTATCGACACGAATTGATAGGTGAAACAACAAACAGCCACCCACAAATAGTCTATGTCTTATTAAGGGGAGCCGAGCTCCCCCTAGCTCCACCCTAGTTCGCACCCTGGTTCCAAACCTGACTTTCTTTCTTCTGTGGAACATAAAAGAAGATACTTTGGAGACTGTCTGGAGAGTGGTTTTTGTCCATTCAATAAAAGTGGAGTTCAATGGTAAGAAAGAAAGTCATACAGGTTTGTACCAACATGAGGGTGAGGGCATGATAGGATTTTATTTTTATTTTTGGTTAAACTATCCATTTAAGGTGACTCTGTGCCTCCTCCAAATCACCATCAGAAACATTTACACCCCTAGAAATGATTTCAATGGCTGATTTCAGCAAACTCTTGCCATTTCTGAGCAATATGCATCAGCCCACAAACGTCCTCGAGGAAGGGTGCAGCACATGAGCCTCCTTGATGACTGCACAGGTCTTTGGTCTGTGTTGAGCTACAGCTGAACTGCTGGGGCAGGAATGAGAGTTCAACATTGCATGAGTTAATGCTACCATGTGAATAGACCGTCCCATCTATGTTTTCCTCTCAGGAAACACACACACACACACACACACACACACACCCCAGTTCTCTTTCTTCATCAAAGCAGCGACCGAATCACTAGCGGTATTTCTGCAAATGTCAGGGGAGATGATAAAGAAAACAAGGGGGAATAAGATGAAAGAGAGAAGGAGGTTGAGAGAGAAGGAAGCTTCAGAGCACTATATGAGACATGCCGATCACATACATTTGTGTGTAGGTGCCTGAGAGTACATGGCTCTGCTTCAAAACCTGGAGAACTGCATTGCTGTCTACTGTCTATATACGCAGCTGCCATCGCAGACAGCAAAATGTGACATTTCGAACTAAATCTGGCCAAAACAGGTGTTTTGGGGTTTGTTTTGGTGGTCTGAAACATCTCCCCAGCACAAACCATCCAGGAAACACACACACACACACACACACACACACACCCCAGTTCTCTTTCTTCATCAAAGCAGCGACCGAATCACTAGCGGTATTTCTGCAAATGTCAGGGGAGATGATAAAGAAAACAAGGGGGAATAAGATGAAAGAGAGAAGGAGGTTGAGAGAGAAGGAAGCTTCAGAGCACTATATGAGACATGCCGATCACATACATTTGTGTGTAGGTGCCTGAGAGTACATGGCTCTGCTTCAAAACCTGGAGAACTGCATTGCTGTCTACTGTCTATATACGCAGCTGCCATCGCAGACAGCAAAATGTGACATTTCGAACTAAATCTGGCCAAAACAGGTGTTTTGGGGTTTGTTTTGGTGGTCTGAAACATCTCCCCAGCACAAACCATCCAGGAAAAAATTCCTGCCAGCTGTTAAACACCTTCGAAAGGCCATTGGTCAATGATGATTATGTAATAGGTGGGTGTGGCTCTGTGGCTCCGCCTTCTTTGACATAATTCTTAACAGGTTCATTTGTTCACTCAGACACAAAGAACACATTTTTTGTCACATTTTTGTTGTTGTTGTGATATTGAGTGGAAAGTGCACAGCACATATTAAAGGGGTCATATGATGTGATTTCAAGTTTTCCTTTCTCTCGTGTGTGTGTGTGCGCGCGCGCGTGTGTGTGTGTGACAGAGAGAGAGGGACAGGGTCACATCACAGTAGAGTCAGCTGCCTTAACCGTGGCTTGTGTACTGCAAACACACCAGCTTCATCACTGTGTCTGTCAGTGACCCCTTTAACATATTTATCTAAATGCTAAATGTATATAATTGCACAGCTATTTCATACTTCTGTAATGTAGAACAATAAAGAACTTTGCAGTAAGCACATCATGGTCTTAACAGTGGAACCTCATGAGGGAACAGACTCAAAACATCATTCGCTGTAGGCAGCAACTAAACACTAAACTACAGGTGCATCTCAATAAATTAGAATGTCGTGGAAAAGGTTAATACTTGTTATTTGGTTAATCATGAAATAAACATCTCTCTTTTGATGACCATCTTGAGCGCATTTTTTTCTCCACTGATCTTACCACAGTCGAAACCGAATATTCATTACCAGCTCAATATTTTCAGTTGGCAAAATTTTGGTGCATCACTAATAAAAACGATGAATTCAGACATACTACTTTTTTCACATGCTGTTCTTTGCCTACTATATAGAATGGAAGTTGGTATATTCGGACACAGGAAGAGCCTGTGTGTTTTCTCCAGAAGGGAAGCGGCTCTTAACAATCACATCACAAATTAACCACCATCTGCCTCAGACTGACCTCTTCTACTACCACTCTCTCTCTCACACACCTGGTATACACATCAACATTCTGGTCATTTAATCAGCTGTCCTGAAACTCTTTAAGACAACTTCCACTTGCATATATGTCTGTCCCCATCCAATGGTGTGACAGTAACATTGAACAGGAGAACCGAGACAGGGAAAAACCGAACTGAAGACAAGCGTGCAGACATGATGGAAGCAGTGGGGAAGGACGACATCTCCGTGGTCATGCATACTGATGGACACACACACACACACACATAATGATATCTCACAGCTCTGATGCAATCACACCCAAGGAGAATCCCTGATCAACATCTTACGCCGTAAGTACCCACTCGAAGCACTTCTCATTAGAGTTTTGACATTCATAGGGTGAGTGTCTCTGTATTAGAATGCACCGTTTTTCTCCAAGAGCAAAAGATGTGCAATTAATCACGGATTTCAGCGCTTCTTTCAAGACTGAATGGTTTATCTAATGGTTTCAGGATAATATAATGGTTTGTCCTCAAATGAATAGTTGCCTACAAATGAAAATTATGTCATCATTTATTCACCGTCATGTCATTCCAAATCTGCATGACCTACACTACTGATCAAAAGTTATTTAATGTATTTATTTAAAGTAAAATGGAGTATAAGCAGTAATACTGTGAAATATTATTACAATTTAAAAGAACTGTTGTCTGTTGTAATATATAGCAAAATGTAATTTATTTCTGTGATCAAAGCTGAATTTTCAGCATCATTACTCCAGTCTTCAGTGTCACATGATCCTTCAAAAATCATTCTACATGCTGATTTGCTGCTCAATTATTATCAGTTATTATTGGTGCTCAATCATCTATAACGGTTCTTATTGTTCAAAAAGTTTTTGCTCCTTAATATTTTTGTGGAATCTGTGATTTTCAGGATTCTTTGACAAATAGAAAGACCAAAAGAACAGCATTTATTTAAATATTTTTTGTAATAACATAAATGTCTTTACTGTCACTTTTGAGCAATTTAATGCATCCTTGCTGAATAAAAGTATAATTTCTAATTATTAATGAAGTATTAATCTTCAAGTATTATTTTTTATAATTGTACTTACCATAAACTTTTGAATGTTTGACAGTATCCACAAAAATATTAAGCAACACAGCCGTTTCCAACATTGATAATAATCAGAAACATTTCTTGAGCAAACATCAGCATATTAGAATGATTTCTGGAGGATCATGTGACACTGAAGACTGGAGTAATGATGCTGAAAATTCACAGAAATACATTACATTTTACAATATATTCAACACAGTTCTTGGTGAGCATAAGAGACTTTACAAAAAAAATTTTTTAAATCTAAAAAAAAAATTTTAAATCTAAGTTTTTAAGCAAAACTTTTGACTGGTAATTTGAAATGGAAAAGGTTTTAAAAAAGCCTCAGTGTTTATTTGTCCACACATTGAAACTCAATGGGGTCCAATGATTGTAAAGACAAAAACTGTTCATCTTTTGTATATAAAGAAAGTCATACAGATCTGGAGCGAGTAAATATGTCTGAATTTCGACTGGCACTGTATATCACGTAACATAACCAATCACAGCCTCTTGTATTCCTTTCGTTCCAGGAAATAAGTTTGGCATGCTGAGGTCAGGAATCCATGTGTCATAAAAAAGCAAGCATGCATCTAATATCTGATTGTGATTCCAATAGCTATGTATTCTGATCCGTTCACACGATCACGGCCTGTTGTCCGTCAGCATGTCTGAGGCCTGCAAGGTGACCCGGCCTCAAGCTGAGCACAATCAGCACTACTCCAGATCCGGACAGAGTTTCATCTGACCTTCAAAATCACGAGCCAAAAATACCACCTCAAAATGCGTTCATTTGCATTTTTAATCTTGCAATTAAACGTGATGTAATTAGGGCTGGGTGATATTGTACAAATACAGTACAATGAAAAATCTAGTTAAAACAGGAAGCAACGTCACAATCCAGTACAGTCACTAGTAAAGTACTGTGCACTGCACACAAAGAGATGGATTTCACTACAACAGACTGGATGGCTTAAGTACTGGACACGCAAGGGTCAGAGATCAAGTTGAGTTGGTCTTGAGTAGGTGGCGTGTACATGGAGAAAGGGTGGGATTGGAATTTGCTTGTGAACTCTGCAGGGTTTCAGGGTTAAATAATTCATTTGGCACTGGTCAGCTGTGTGTGCGTGCATGTGTGTATGCGTGTTTAAGCTCCATGCTCTACCTGCACTGTTGAAACCACATCCAAGGAAAAAGCCTCTCACTTCGGGTGCTTCACCCATCAGGGGCTTGTGATCTGCAGTGAAGGATTCTGGAGGGAAACAAAAAAAAAAGGATAAAATACACTTCAATTTCCATTCACTGTAGGTCTAACCAAAACTACAAGAAGAAATGTTATATTTTGAAATAAAAGAGATCAGTGTTGTATGTTGGCATATTTTACCCTTCTCAAACCTCTCCAGCCTCCCAGATCATTAATGGAAACTAAGCTTCAGTGAGATGGGTTTAATTCCCAGGGAATGTGTAAACTGATAAAATGCAATGAAGGTCGCTTTGGGATAAAAACATCTGCCATGTTTATAGATAGACAGACATCTGGACAGAAAATGCAGACGGAGCCCCTTTTATTCAGCAAGGACACATTAAATTGATCAAAAGTGACCAAAAAATATATTCATAATGTTATTTAAGATTTCTATTTTAAATAAATGCTGTTATTTTGGACTTTCTATTCATCAAAGAATCACATTTACCATTAAAATATTAAGCAGCACAACTGTTTTCAACATTGATAATAATCAGAAATGTTTCTCGAGCAGCAAATCAGCATTTTAGAATGATTTCTGAAGGGTCATGTGACACTGAAGACTGGAGTAATGATGCTGAAAATTCAGCTTTGATCACAGGAATAAATTACATTTTACAATATATATACAAATAGAAAACAATTATTTTAAATGGTAATAATATTTCAGAATATTACAGTTTTTACTGTATCTTTGATCAAATAAATGCAGCATTGCTGAGCAGAAGAGACTTCTTTCAGAAACATTTAACATACCAAAAAGCCTTACAGACCCCAAACTTTTGACTGGTAGTGTACTGTTTTTTGTGTTACTGTGGCGAAACTCAAGAAGGTTGCATAATTACCTTTAAATATCTGTGCCATAAAATGTCATGTTTTATTGTATGTACCCTTTCTTTGTATGTTTCTCCTTCATGTGTTATACATAATTTACATAAAATCTTAAGCGATACAACAGCAAGTGTTTATTTTTTGCTTTTATCATGGTTTTTGTCTTTTGCTAAAAAAAAAAAATTCAATATTTCTTCTTGTTATATTCAATTCAATTCAGTACATTTTTCCTGTGACCGTGTATATAATTTGTCAACAAAAATATTTCAGCATCAAAAATAAAAATACGTGCCAAACTTTAAAACATATCAAGATTGTTCAACCCAAAATTTAACATGATATATCATGATCAAATTTAACATGATTAAACAGTCCTTTTGAAAACCTGACTTGTTGAAATAGTTACTGTTTTGTGAATCCTTAAATGTTGTTCGATTTGACATTTAGCCTCTGTAGGATATTACATTAAGCAAAAAACTTTGTTAAAGCAACAACGTATTTACATGTACAGTACAATGTCAGTTAGATGTATTCTGGACTAGCATGTAATGAAATTATGACTGTTTATGGTGCAAGAAAACTTGACACTATAAGAGCACTTCAGGAAAAAATAATTGCTATGAAAGTTTATGATAAGGCTTTTTTAAAGCACAGAAAGTAAGAAAATAAGGTTGAGAGGTGGGAAAATGAGGCACATGGTGCTGCCAGTGGGTCAGATCAGATCTTTCTGAAAGGCTCTTTCTGCTGAGCGCTCACTTAATGGTCTATAACAGTCAAAGCTTTCAGTAGTAAGATGTGGGATGACCCTCAGAAGCATCAAAGACAGAGAGAAATGCAAAGGCAAACGAGTGCGAGGAGAAACAAAGGCCACGAGTGCAAGAGAGACTGAGAAGTGAGACAGAAAAAGAGAGATGAAGAGCTGAGACACACCTTTTCCATTACACCACATGAGAAAGTGTTTTTTCCGCAACATCATTTGCTCTTTGAGAGCACAAAGGATAGGGTGAGGCTGCAGCTATAGTTTATTTATCCATCTTCCTCTCCTCCATCGCTCTTATTCATACGTCACCACACACACACACACACACACACACACACACACACACACAGCTATCGCCTCAGAGAAATGACCGAAGTGCTCTGACTGCCGTCCTCAGAGGTCACCTTATAGTGTCAAACACGGCAAACCGAAGCCATTATAGCACGAGAAATTTACTAAACATGATCCAATTGAGAATGTGTGGTGCGATCAAACCCTCCAAACTCAAATTACAACACATTTGAATTGATTCAAATTAATACTGGAAGTCCAAAAGTGAGATCGCTAGTGAAAATCCTGCTAATTTGACATTTTTTAAAATGTATTACAAATTACTTAATTGCAAATGATATTATTATTTGCAAATGGTATTATTATGTTATTATACGGAGCATGATTTGAGAATGATAAAAAGAGCAACTTGTGCTTCAATGAATGAAAGATCTGTCAAAATTATTATTTTTTGCAATAGTGTAAAATCTTGTTTCTTACTTTAAAAAAAAAAAACGCTTAATATTAGATGAATCACAGATTTATAATGTGGTCTAAGGTTTCAATACATTTTTTTCTTCATTACAAATTACATTATTAGCATGAGTAAAAATGTGTTTCCTAAAAATGTATCATGGTTTCATGAAAACATTAAGCAGCAAAAACTGCTTTCAACATTGGTAATAATCAGAAATGTTTATTAAGCAGCAAATCAGCATATTAGAATGATTTCTGAAGATCATGTGACACTGAAGACTGGAGTAATGATGCTGAACATTCAGCTTTGCATCACAGGAATAAATTACATTTTACAATATATTTAAATATAACATTAAATTGAAATTGTAATAATATTTCACAATATTACTGTTTTTACTGTATTTTTAATTAAAATTAAATAAAAATAAATGTGTGTGTGTGTTTATATAATATGACATTTTTTAAATGACATATTTAAATAATTTAAAGACAACAGAAATAAAGAGCACTTGCATATTTCATGATACAGTACTTTTTAACACTTACAATGAGAATTCACAATAAACAAAATAAATAATAACCAGACAGGATCTCAAAGGATATCAGTAATCATATTATACTGCAATTTTGTTGATAATATTTATGTGAAACCACATAATGGTTTAATTAATTGCATCATCAGTGTTTAGTGGATCAAGACCTCTGGCCAGTTTCACGATACACAGACTCACGACACAGTCGTGAGAGACAGCGTGAGTGTGAGCAGCAAACACACTTCTACATTTATTCTGAAATCTTGTGAAACACCACTGCACACAGGTGGTCTTCAGTCAAGTAATGGTGATTTTCAAGTGTAGTTCTTGACTAAAGTGGACGCAGTTAAGGGCCAGTGGGACACCGCGGTCACACCAAAAGGAATAATTATCAAGTGTTAATTGGGATTCATGCAAAATCCAATGATAGCAGAGCTGAATTATACATATGCTCAACATCTCGTTTTTAATAGCTGATGAATGGAGTCTTTGCTATCACTCTCCTAAAATGATTTATGGAGCACTCACATCCACTGACCCGAAACCCGTCTGCAATTGACCGACAGCCAGTGTGTTAGCGGCATTTCACACCTGTCATCTCTTATTACAGCCAGTAAAGGTTGATTGAATCTCTAGGGAGAGTCGGAAAGGTGACAAATCAGCCAATCAGAGCACAGTGTCATTTGACTGGCAGTCTAGCGAGTCAATCACTTTGTGAGATCAAACTTACTGTCACAAAGTATGTGTGATGTGCTGATGAAGATACTAGCAATCACTATAGAAACACCCTCTACTCTGCACTACAAATGTGAAAATATGTGTATTCTGCATCACATGAATTCTGAACAAAATATCTGTGCATGTGAAAAGAAATAAATGACTCTTACGAGCTGTTAAAACAGTGAAGTTTGATTCCTGGATGAACTGACTCTTTTTAGCGATTAAATAACATACAGCGTGAAAAATGTAGTTTGATTCCTGAACTGATGACTCTTCTGAGCCGGTTCTTTTTTGTGATTCAAAAGCATATAATATGACCAGTATAGTTCGAATCCTTAAAGAATGGCTCTTATGAGTCAGTTGTTTTTTGTCAAAAACATACAGCATGAAAAATGTAGTTTGATTCTGAAACAGATTACTCTTATTATGATGCAGATCTTTTTAGTGAATCAAAAACATACAGCATATATAAAAATGTAATTCAATTCCAGTAAAAACAACTCTTATGAGCCGGTTCATTTTAGTGATTCAAAACCATACAGCATGAAAATGTAGTTTGATTCCCAAACAGCTTACTCTTTCTACAAGGTGGAACTTTTTAGTGAATCAAAAACATACAGCATTAAAAATGTAGTTCAACTCCTGTACAAATGACTCTTATGAGCCAGTTTTTTTTTTTAAGTGATTCAAAAACAAAGCGTGAAAAATTTAGTTCCATTCAATCCGTGTATCATTCGATCATTCGTTTTTTGATTTAATATTGAAAGTAGAAAAATGAGAAAACGGCTCCTTTTTCTTTTTCTTTTTTTTTCCAAAAAAACGAAAAACAAGAATTCAGCTTAAATTTTCGTTTTTCGTTCAGGGGTAGAAAAATGAATAAACAGCTTGAATATTCGATTTCTACACATGGGCGGGAATTAAACACCCCTTTCTGCGGATTGGTCAGCCGAAGATCAAACCGTGCCATCATCAGTACTTCCGCAGTATCACGCAGCAGAATAATAGTCCTCCACTGCTGCAGTTGTACGGATTAATAACCCATTTGATCAATTTAATATTTTTCTCATCAAACAGACTAATGAATAGCTCGACACAACTCGTACCGGGGCAGAGTCTAGACAGGTCTTTCTTCTGTGTAGACCAGCGGTTTGTTTTATTAAAATTGATTATAATTGATATGATATCTCACAAGGATATGCACTTGTGCGTGGCGTGAGCTGCTGCGCACTTGCACTGCAACGCAAGATTTTCATAAAATATAATAGCTTGCCATTTCGGTTTGTTTCTCACCAAACCCTCAGTATACCTTCAGAATGCTTGGAATATACGCCACGAGATGCATATGATTATTT